AAAAACCAAAGTGTTCACCTCTGCACTAGATTGATACAAATAGATAAAGAATAAGAATGGGAAAGATAAAGAGAAGATTAAAATAAATAGGGAAGAAGAGAAAGAGGTGTAACATCGTTCTTCTTCAGTCTACTGAATGCGTTGTTCAACGATGTATGTAATCATATTCTTTATTGTGATGTTGTGTGCAATTCGACACAAATTTCTACTTCAAAGCCAGTCTAGCATTTATAAACAAGCGCTAAAGTTTAAAACGCGATGACTAAGCCACCTGAAAGCGGTAAATGCTGTTATGATTGCGCTTCATTCAATCCTTTATTGACGAAGGTATTAGGTAAGGTACCTCCATGAGATCTCTAAAAAAGAGCATAGCATGATGAAAAAGACGCCAAATTTGACGAAAACAAAATGTTATCGTCTAAATGTTTATATTATTATTAAGAGGAAAGATCAAAATTTATTTTAATTATTTAAAAAAATTTTCCTTCTTTTTAGAACATTCTAAATTTTGATCGAAAAAACCTTGTTTCTCTTTGTATCACCGGAACTAGTAAAATAATATATACAATTTTTAGCACGTTTTTTTTTTTTGTGTGTGACACACATTAATTTGGAAAATCTTGCGAAAATAAAAATAATTGTCGGATGTTAATGAAACTTTCAGAAACTATTCACAGATGATCGAAATTATTATAAATGTGTTGTTGTTTTTTTATTAAAGCATCTGCTGAATACGGTGACTGAGTGAAAATTTTCCAGCTATGATCTAACAATTTTTGGTTGGTCACCAAAAAAACATGCAGCCAATTTAGCTTTAACCCGATGGAATATTACGCACTTTTCACTAATATCGAAACTTTTAATCGATTGCTGCCTTTATTTTTTCTAATTAGGAGATTTAGTTGCTCGAATCGATGGTTTGGGTCTCCAGAATGAATTCTTAATAGACGACAACGCTTTTTTCTTGTCAATAACATAGCATTAGCGTCTTTGGATGAAGACTGGCCTTTGGTATGATCAGTGGTGATTAATCCCACTTGCCCTACAATCACTTACGTTCCACATTGTTATAAAGTATTCATTATTAATCGCCTGTCACTATTTGTTTTACAAACGGAGCAATTTTCATTATGTTTAAGCAGCGAGTACCTCACGCATATTCCATCCAGTAGGTTTGTAATAAAACTAATGCAAACAATTTTTAACACTTGATTTGCAAATTTTCAGTGTGTTCGTTATCTACGGCTAAAAATCAGAATTTGAATGTTGATTTTTTTTTTCAAGGCGGGTAAGTAGATTAGACCTTCCCACTTTTATTTGTACACGATTATTTGCACAACAGGTTTATCGATTTGAAATGAACAAAAATATCAGCCTTTTTTGTTCTGGCACAAAATAATCCCGGAAATCCAGATTAGTAAAATATAATATCTAATTTAAAGGTACTTAATATAATTAATCATGGAGTGATTATTTATATAATATATAATATATATATATGATAAGTCTAGAACACGAATCAGCAACAGAATGCAGAAAGCATTGGGCGTCCGTTTCATCCTATTTTGGGGGACTCATAAGCAGTGTGCATCCACTACCGAGAATCGAACCCGGACGGTTACAATATAACGCTACGCTATATTGAGTCTAGTTAGTTTCCTCTTCGTCACCGAGGCTCGCTGGCCCAGTGGTATGACGCATGCGTTGTATCGTAACAGGTTCGTTTCTCGGTAGTGGATGCACACTGCTAATGAGCCTCCCCCCCCAGGACCAAACGGCCGTCCAGTGCTTTCTGTATTCTGTTGTTGATTCGTGTTCCGGACTCGGTTAATTATTATGAGAAATTATTCAAATCCCCTCAAAACTTCTATTATATCAAATTGTAAAAAAGAATCCACAGGCTTGTTTTGCTATATCTTTAAAGTTGTTTACTATAACGAATAACTATGGATATAACATTTTACTATTTGCATAAGTATATAAATAACAAGATCTTGTTTCCTTTTACAAATATTTTATGTCAACTTTAATAATTGTTAAGTTAATGTAATCCCGTAAAATGAGTGTTGATAAAACCCATTTAAGACTCTTTGTTCTTGACAAGTTAAAAGAAAAGGAGGGTGGGGTCATCGCCTTGAAGCGGCGAAGAATATTTACAATATCTATGGAAATAACATCTTTAGTGTCGGGAAATGCAAGCGATGGGATAATCAGTTTTGCTTGAGGATTCGTAACCTTAAATATTTCCCTCAAGCTGGGCGACAGGCTTCAATCGACAATGAAGCTTTTCTAGCAGTAATCAATGTAAATATTAAGTTGACAGCCCGACAACAGTTCAGTATAATCCATACAATAATAACTTACCTCCAGGAAGTTACTCAAGTGTCAATAGTTTACATATAACCTGACCGGTTCTCGTTTTAATCAATATATCAATATTTGTTCGTTATGAAGTATATCCTTGTGCAAATTAATTGAAACAACCGCTTCAGTTTCATTTCTTTCACCATACGGTCAGTTTTAGACCCACTGGAATGATAGGGTGCTATTGATTTTCTTTCCTCAGATTAGGTCATTTGCAGTGGTGTGCGTTAATATGAATCTATTTTCAGTGTGATGCAATTTTTTTGGCCTTGAAAAATATTGTGTCATCTGTGATTGCATCAGATTTTTTTAAACGTCCAGACCCTATTGACCCGACTTTCGATTAGTTGTCCTATGGCCATTGTCAGCGATGGACGTTACTCCAACGAAGCGTACGATAATTGTAACGCAGCACGAACAAACTGGCAAGCCTTACTAGTGAGCAAGTCAAAGTACTATAGATTGGCCCGGAAATTCTCCTGATTTAAATCCAGTCGAGAATCTGTGGTCAATCTGCAAGGAAATACTTTATGGAATGGACATACAAAGTACTAATATGTACACTGGGTCATGTTTCATTGGAAAAATACGAAAAAAAAGTAAATAATAACGAAATTATTCATTTTATTTCAATTATTATACACAAGGGTGTAGAAGACTTACTACCGGACTCTTTCTAAAAAAGATCATCATCAGTGATAAAACGCAGACCCTTTATATTGATATTCAGCACAAGAGTTAATATTTAGAACCGAAGGAAAAACCTGCATCTATAGCAAAATCAGGATTACATTCAGCTGAAGGTAAGTCTGTGTGTTTGGTGGACTAAGACGTGTTTTTTGTATTTTTTTAATCAATTCACCCCAAGCAAGGCGATAACGCCATTAAGACGTAAGGGTCTACTGAAAGTGAAACAGACGGAAAAAACTTGGAAAGAACTAGAAACTCAATCTTCAACAGGAAACAAGGGATAGACCTCTACTTATATTAAAAAATCGGGGAGGAGTGTGAACCTGACGATAGGTTGTATTTTCATGAAGCGTTGAATTCTAATAAAACAGTAAATTCTGAATGATATTGTCGTCAGCTGAAAGCATTGCAACAGTCTTTGTTTTGTTGAAAAATCGAGTTTCGCTGATCAATCGGAAATATGAGTTTATAGACTATGCTAAACAATAAATATATATTCAACACATACATCATTAATTAGCCAGTTTATTTTTCAGACCATGAATACAATTGTGAGTTTAGTTTAAAGTAAGTGCTTAATAATGCTAGCCTTTTGCCATATTAAATCTTAATACAATGTCAATAAGTCCTGAGTGCCTAACTATGGAACTACTGTTAACCAGTTACTCTTGCAGTAGATGCCCACTATACTTGTTACCTTGTTCCAGACTAGATTTAATACTTATATTTTGGGGTGTTCGGAAATTAATTACGTATTTTTACTGTTATGAATTATAAGCTGATCAACCAAGGCAGAACACAGGTTGAATGATGGGAAACTGCCTCTAGAATTAGTTTATTATCTCTTCTGTCCGACAGTGTGTCGTTTATATTGCCTTTCAGTTTAATTGGGAAAACTTGCGAAGTGGGAATATGGGTCCCTCAGAAATTTTCGTTTGAGAACCAAATACAACATTCCACCATCTGCAGCGTACTTTTAATCAGAAATACCAACATTTTTTTTATATTTTTACATCGTATTGTTACAGATGGTGAAAACATGAATTTTACAGGTAAAAAGAAAACGAAACTGACAATAAGAAACCAAATGCCAACACTAAAACCAGGATTCCATCTACAAAAGTCCCTGCTCTGTCTCTGGTGGATTATGAGAAGTTTCGTCCATTACGAACTACTGGAACATGGAAGGGCCATTACAGCAGAGGTTTATTGTTAGCAATTTTATCGGGTAAACGAAATATTGCGTCGAAAGTCTCCTGCTTTGGTTAACAGAAGACGTGTTTCCAGCATGACAGTGCAATGGCATATTTTACAAAATAGAAAAAAAATTGAGATTTTTAGCCTGGGAGGTTCTTTCAAATCTTATATAGTTACCAGATTTAGAAGCTACAATTTTTTTTTGCGTTCCGATCGCCAGAACATTTCATAATTGGCAGAAAATTCAGAATGAGGATGAAAACAATCTTTCAAACCTTTTAGAGAAAACATTTAATAAACGTGGAGTCGAAAATTTGTTTCCCCGTTGGGCTGCAGCCGTTGAAAACATTTTTGATAAATAATGCTTATATAGATTTAACTTGCATTTGTTTTTGTATCTTTTCTGGTAAAAAGTAATTACTTTCTCAACACCCAAATATTTTCAAATTTGATGGATATATAATGATATGGCACAAGTAATTAATTCCTTAAGCATAACGTTTTGATAAGACCCGATTAGTAGTCTCAAATCTTGGAGGCAAACATCAAAGAAGTTTTCTAATCGGCGGTTTCGGACATCGCTTCACACAATATTTAGATTCCGATACATCGTTTATTTACTTTTGTTGGTACTTTTGGTAGGCAGGAAAAAGTCAGTCTAAGCTGATAAGTTGAAGTAGGGCAGGCATGACAGAATGTTTAGCTCTTCTGATATATTTGGATTTTACTTTTCATCTCCATCCCCATTTATGGTTGGTAAAAGAACACCTGTGCTGCCCCAGAGAACCTTATGCATTTCACCCTCAACTTTTCCTCCATCACTTATTGTTACAGTGGATGACCTTTTAAAAGGCTGCTACCAATTTACGGCAGCTGAATGGCGGGGGACTGTTGTATGGTTTAAATGGGAAATGCTCAGGTGTACCATTTTTCTACTTAACGTGTGCATTTTTTTTTTTTGGAAGCCATCTTCTCAGGAGAAAGTAAGGACTAAAATATCAAACACATGACCTAGTAGATAAAAATATTGCCTAAAACATATCCGGTTTCCTCGCAGTTCTGAGATCAATCCCCGGGTCTGTTAGTGCCGAAAAATCACATACTCTGGTTCAGTGGAAGAAACGGACAAGCGATGCAAAGGTGAATAAGAGTTATCGCCCCTGAGCATGGAAAGATGAATGAGAATAATCTACTCCCATGAATTGAATAAAGGCCACACTTCGAAATTCCTAGAAGGTTACAGGGTATGAAGACAGAAACCTGAAGAAGGCCGAAACATTATGAGCATAACAACCAAGATGTGCATGTTTGTCCGAATAGAAAACCATATAATGAAGTAAGTGTGTTGTATTTTAGTGTTTTATGGAAGTATACCTTCATTCACCGGGCTTTATATGTACACATTGAAGTGGTTCAAGCGTTCGCATATATCATAACGCTAATTTATAACCCTGGCCCTAAACATTACCATCAGCAAAGAGGAAAAAAAAAAGGGAATATCTATCTATCTATCTATCTATCTATCTATCTATCTATCTATCTTTTAAATGCATACTTGTTTTCTATGAATCTACGAGTGAGTACATACATATCTTTCTATCTACCTACTTGTTTATTTGTTGTGACTTAATAAAGGGATGAATTTTCCAAATTCTTGATCAAACAAAATGTACTGGTGGACTTTGAAATGAAATTAGGTGCACCATGAAAGAACAGAATTATATTATAAATATTTTAAAAAATGCAAACTGAAATTCGTAATGAAGTTCATATATAATTGTCAGCTCCAACTGGAGAAAACGCTTGGTTTTACTTGTGGTGTTGTTAGGTTGGAGGGTGGATAACAAGTACTTGAAGACGGTCGGTGCTGAGTGTCTGCAGTTTGACAAACCCACAGTTTCGTAGTTGGTTGCGCGTGGTTTATGTACAGAGTGCGCCAAAATATTTTTACATCTTCAAAAGTGCTCCATGACTGATCTACAGTCTATTGAAGTTGAAAAAGAAACTTCAAAGTAAAAATCTAATACAGATGTAATATTTCATTGTTTCAAATGTTGCATAATTTCCCGGCATGCCTGAATCTGAAGACATAATGCATAACCGAGTAGCGTTAAAATTGCTTTTCAAAGATGTCTCAGTATTTTCCTTTTAATCTATTGTCTGTCTAAAATGATCTCTTTGGTGTGTTTCCTGTATAGATATCAATGAATGTGCTCTTGGCACAAGAGGGAAAAATACTGTTATATGTATGTACATGAACATATGGCCGAGTGGTTACAACGTTCTTTCAGACCGCGTTCGAATCTCACCATAGTCGATTTGTCAGGGAGGTGACTTCTTGATGTTATCGGCGGGGGCGGAGGGGTTAGAGGGTGATTCCCAGTGGGTGGCACTTTGGAAAGCGCCTGAAAACCATAACGCGTATCGAGCCAAGTCTTGTGAATGAAATTGGGTAGACGGAATTGTTCGAAAGCCGTTGGTGATTGTGTTAGCACGAAGTCACGAGTCAGCGTGACCGAGAGTTTGTGCGCTCTTCAAACTGCCGATCATGACAGTTTATGCGCTCTTTCCTACCTATCTAAGGACCGGTCACCATATTTGCAATCTAAATCACAGGTGTGCTCTGTGGGTGTTGAATTTGGTGGACAAATGTGTCTGAGCAGGCGTCTGCGATTGGGATTAACTAGCCGTTCTACCAGACGAGTAATGAGAGTAGCCGGCCATTATGTATGTATGTATGTACATATGTATGTGTCTATGTATGTACGGAGATGTAGAAATATTTGTGTTGGTGTCCAGCCGCGCGGATAGCAACTAGAAGTGATGGATCTTTGATTAGTTATCCATCTAAGAGAAGGAAAATAACTGATGTAACACCCGCCTCGATGCTAATCCTTGGGGAAGGTATGAATCCACCTCCTCTCCAGCCATGGTTTAAATATTAGGACTTGTATCTGGAAAAATCATTGTTGTTCTTAATGCAATATTCACTGGCAAAAAAGAAAGATAATTATTCGCACATTTCAAAATGTTCCAGTTTTAAATAGCCCGAAAGAGTTGATAATCCGTGAAAAGCAAATCACTCAAAAAAAAAAAAAAATTATAAATCCTTACGTATTGATCGACACGTCTGTCTTAGATTATGTGAGTTCCCTGTAGACAGTGTTATACACACATACACAAGTTCACATATAAACTGGCAATCCCTAATCCACGTCCTGGGTAAGACGATAAACTATGTCCAGCAGCAAGGCCTTTGATCAGGAGGTTTTGAGGAGCGAAGAACCACCTCTTAATAGCTGGTGTTCTCAGGTCCACTCTGACTCAGGGTAGTAGCACCTGTTAGGGTCCCAGCTATGAGCAAATAGTTAAATATTACCAGCAATACTTTTTGAAACAAATTATTACCAGCAATACAATACAAGGAAAAATATTACCAGAAACAGATTTTTGACAAAACAAAATATTACCAGAAATAACAAATTTTGTCGGCATTAAATAACCGATTGAGGTTGATATGCCATAAAACAAAATAAACCGAACCAATCTAAACCAAAGAATACATATTCTATTCATACGAATCTATCCTAAAAATGTCAGCATTAAATAACCGATTGAGGTTGATATACCGTAAAACAAAATTAAATCGAACCAAACCCTAATCCGGTATCACTGAAACCTATATTGTGTCGGAGAGTTTTCTTTCGGGTTACATTAATTTCCCCCTGTTTCTTGGTCATAAATGAACCAAGTCTGTGTAAATCTCACAAGTATGACACAGAAAAGCCGTTGTCAAGTGTTTTTATTTCAGTTATCTGTTATGGGCAATGTATAGAGTTTGTACTTCATATCACGAGAAATACTACCTGTATTCATTAGTGCCATGACTGGGACAACACCTCATCAGGTTATGATAAAGATTCACAGACGAGAATTACAAATGCTTTACCATTGTTTGAAAGTACCCAACAACATCTGATAGAATAGCTAGCGCCACTAAACAATAGTGGAAGGTCCGTGCAGTCACCGGGTAATCTTAAATTGCTCTCATGGAAATTAGTGTCAATTTCCAGATTGAACAGTATTACTGATGGCCAATATAAGTGTGAAAGACAGACAGTATAATAGACATAGGAATCAATACTACATTGTGAATGTTAGTTTCCGACTTCAATGCGATCGTCAGACCAAGTTCATATTTTGTATAATATATAACCATCAACAGCCTAGCTTTTCAATACAATTACTATTTTCATACAATATTAAACATAATGGCGTGATTAGCCGTTTCTTTATACGGAAGCATTCAGCTTTCATTGACATAACAGCATTACTGTCGGTTGAAATTTACAAAACCTTTCTCTTAAAACAGTTTTTCAGGAATCTAGATTTCTCAAGTTCACTTTGGGTGCTTCCGTTCTAACCGAAGTAATGTGGAATGTCAACATCCTGATTATATCATTATTTTCTCTTCGAGTTACATGTGATATCCATTTTAGTTGATACTGCTATTAAAAGTCTTTTAGTAATCTCGTTTATGCTATTTGGTAAAGTTCTTTGTGATTCTGTAGCGCCAGTTTACGAGATTCGATGAAGACCTACATACCCCATTCGTATGAAGCCATTTTTAACCATTGATCTGAGAAAAGGGTTGCATATAGCTGACAATTTATATATTTCTGAACTAGTTGGACGCCATGCATGACATCCATATGTAAGTTTCGATCTAACGAATGTATTTAAAAACATGACTCGAGTTCCTGGTTTGAAGTTTTGGTCTTGTAGCGTCTTTCAGTGGATGAATCTTTATTCAAATTTTCTTGTGGCAAAGTTTAACCTTCATACTCGTAAAAAAAAAACGGTGTATCAAAAGGACGTTTTTCTGTTGACACCGCTATTACAGAATACTCCCTTCACTCCCTTGGAAACGTTTATTTACAAGATTAGAAAAAATATATGAGCCAAGTATAAGGCAATTATTATTTGCTATTTATAAATAAATACCCAGAAAATAAGTTTTTATTCATAATTTTATAAAAATATCTATGAACTATAGAACAAGAAAATTCAAATAAACATGATTTTTTTTCGGACATTATACATTTTCTTGCATTATTTTATAACTCAGATTATCGTAATTCCCCATACGCCTTCATCCATAATACGCACCCCTAAAATTGTGCTGAAAGTGTGGGAAAATGTTTCTACTCATGCATAATACACACCCCATGTTTGGTAATCAAACCCTATAAATTTTACCTCTCCAATTTCATTACCGCTAGCGTTTCCTAATCTTATTTAAAAAATAGTTTATAATATAGAATATTATTCTAATTTAGTTTTATCATGATCCTTATTTTACGGCAATTTTTAAAAGATTTTTTTTTGTAGCTGTGCATAATACGCACCCCTTGCTTATTGTTTTTTTTAGAAAAAAATGCGTATTATACATGGGGAATTACGGTACATTTTTCTAATCGGGATCTAAGATCGGCTAGTTGCAAATCGATTACAACTTTATAAAATGATGAATAATAACGATTTCATTAAAGTTGGCTCACATATTTTAATAATTACGTCATTTTTTTTTTTTTTTTTTATAAATTTATGAATAAAAAATTGTTTTCATATTTATTTCTTTATAAATTGTTAAATGATATTGCTTTGTAGTCGGATTCCATATAATGTTGTAAATATAAACTTATTGTTGTAAATAAACAATCTAATAAATAAATGGTGTTTAATATTTTTATTGTAAATTCTCAAGAACAAAGAAATTATATATATTCACTTTCTTATGGTCGGGTTTTATTAAGATTCTAGTAATCGCTTTTTAAACCAATAAACATCGTTGAGGTCGTATACAGTAATAAAAGTGTCAAGAAAAAATATCCTTTTCACACATCGTTTTTTGCGGGCATGAAGGTTAAACTTTGCCGTTTTATTATTATTTTGCTGCGTAAAACTTGTGTGTAATCACAGACAGCGGCGGGTGCACAATGCACGTTTATCTGTCATTTCAAAAGAGATAAATCTAAGAATAAATAGTTGCAAAACAAAACTTGCAAGGAGCGCCTCCTATTTCCATTCATGTCAAAACTAGGCAATAAAAAAAGAATGTATGGTGTGCTAATGGCGACATTCGCAGAACGCTTTCGTAACGCATCGTTTGTTGTGTGTCTATGATTATTAAACTTTCAGAATTTTTATTTTACAGTATTTTGTTGTATCTTATTTTTCTTCTTATGAACGTTATAATGAAACAATTTTTAACGAAACCACATTAAGTGAGGAACACCTCTAAATACTTTTGTATAGGCAAATGAAGGACAAAGTGAAAAAGATTTTGCCTAACGCCTTTTATCCTCTAGAACAGTGGATCTCAACCTTTTTTTACCCATGGACCCCTTTCCCTTCTTTTTTATCTTGGTGGACCCTTCATAGCTATTGGACATAAGAACAATTTTCTATTCTTCACTAATATAAATTTTAAGGTTTTAATTATCAAAGAAATAGTATACGATTAAGCTTTATTTTTAAATGAAAACTAATTTAATACAAGTAAAATATTCTACTATAATTATAATAATAATTATTATTACTATTTTTAATTAACACAACAATTGAGTTTTGCCTGTGGACCCCCGGAAATATTACATGGACCCCTAGGGTCCATGTAGACCCCGGTTGAGAACCACTGCTCTAGAAGGACTTCAGAGAACTAAAGTAATGTATAAATTTTAAATTTCACATCTTCAGTATCTTGTCTCTGTGCCTAATTTTAATTGAAGCACGCGTTTTTATATCTCCGCCATCCACGCATATATAATTCCATCAGCAAAACGTCACTGATGAAGTCCTAGAAGATGAAACACGTTACACAGGATTTTTTTCTGCTTTGTCATTCATCTGGCTACCATTTTTCTGATATATAAACATTTATATATCATATTCTCCCATACTTTTGTATCTATATGTTGTGACCAAATAAATGGTTGAAGAAATAACAAGTGTTGCAGATATATCATATATTAAATAGTAAGTACAACAGAAGAGTATTATACGACCAGCGTTCAATCTTTAACAGTCCCCATCACGAGGGATGTATGTAGCACAAGGCCGAGTTTACCGTGGGTTCTCTGAACTCGTAGGCTCGGACAAAAATATTCCCTTAGAATCCGTATAAACGGGTACAGGGCCTGTCTACCTCCCCGGACGAAACTTTACCCTTCGACAAAGCCTCGTCCGGGTTCCTCTCTGCTCAAGGCAGAGAGTTCGACAGTTACGAACAATCTAGGCGACTGTTAATATTTAACAGTCCCCCACCCCACGAGGGTGTATGTGACACAAGGTCGCTTTATTGTGGGTACTCCGAGCCCGTAGGCTCGGCCAAAAATATATTCACTTTGAACGCGCCTAAACAGGTTCAGGGACTGTCTACCTCGAACTCGGACGAAGTTTTGCCGCAGTTCCTCTCTGCCGAGGCAGAGAGTTTGACAGAAATGATCAGTCTGGTCGACTGTTAATATTTAACAGCCCCCACGAGGGTGTATGTGGGATAAGGCCGGTTTATTGTGGGTACTCTGAGCCCGTAGGCTCGGCCAAAAATATTCTCTTTGAACCCGCCTAAACGGGTTCAGGGACTGTCTACCTCACCGGGCAAAACTTTGCCCTGCGGCAAATCTTCGTCCGAGTTCCTGTCTGCCTCGGCAGAGAGTTCGACAGAAATGAACAGTTTGGTCGACTGTTATATTTAACAGCCTTCCCCCCACGACGGTGTATGTGGCACAAGGCCGATTTATTGTGGGTATTCCGAGCCCGTAGGCTCGACCAAAAATATCCCAGGGACTGTCTACCTCTCCGGACGAAACTTTGCCCTGCGGCGAAGCTTTGTTTGAGTTCTCCGCCGAGGCAGAGAGTTTGACAGTTGAACAATCTGTGCGACTGTTCCCCCAAGGCCTTCTCTCCTACTAATCTTATAGTAGGCGGAAGAGTCCAACATAGACTCTTTAGAAGGAGGGCACCACAACACTATATATACATAATCTTATTCGGGGTGTTCCATCTTCTGGAAACACGTGTTCAATGAGAAATAAGCTCTTCTGTTGTTAAAACCATATTGGGGTAAAATCTGTATATTAAGTCAATCAAGTGCCATGCGCGCTCATGTCTCTTTCGATTCATGACTAAGCAAAAACTTCCTACAGGCGTCCGTCATTTCATTCTGCTGTAGACTGGTTGCCAACCAAGGCTATAGGACCGAGATTGTCATGCTATTCAGCCCATAGCTAGGTGGAGAAGAGATGAATTCATACTTTATCCAGGGGTATTTGCGTGTAAGTGAATGTAACGAACCTTGGTGGATTTCTCACTTCGAACCGAAACTAGACACTATAATTTTATATATTGGGTTGGAACAAAAGTTCGTGGTGCTTTTTAGCATGTGACGTTTGAACGCATGATTTCGTTTCACACGTGATTGAAATGTATGGCATATATACTCTGAAAGGTGACTTTTCAATGTGTCTTTCTGTAGGATTCGTGCGTGTATTGTGAAAAGCGAAACTGAACGAAAATTTGATACATTTACGCCATTTGATGGTCTTTTATTTCCTGTAAGGAAAGAACAGTATATATATATATATATATATATATATATATATATATATTTATATATATATATGTTTATGGAGATGGTGCTATAATTGTTCGTAAGTAGTTCACTCAGTTCAGAAGTGGAAGACTGAATATTCTCGTAGGCCTGCAGTCGTAACGATGACTAAAATCGAAACGCTGATTAAAAATAATACAAGTCATGCGACACGGAAGATCGTAGAGATACTCCACATCTCTCACATGATCTTTATAAGGCATTTGAAAAAAGTTGAATACAAATATGTAAATAATGTCTGGAATTCACTTTAAAAATTTCTATAAACTTGTGTTCCGATCCAGTATTACGTGTTAAATACATTCAGTTTTCATTTTTAATAGAATTAATTCTTGTTATGCGTGGTATTTTTAAAAAATTCAGTTACCAAATCTTCTTTGATGCGAAGTCTTGTGGCGTCGTTCATGCAAAAAATATAGATATTACTAAAAACAAACTTGTCAAACTTATATATCCGTGGTATAATTATAGTGTTGAAAATGCTAAATAATGTGTTCGGGTTGCACCTTAATCAGATATGTGGTAGGTAAACCGTCAAGGCAAGGAGAAATGTAGGCGGCTGTATCCAAATTTGATGACGTTTTACACACTAAAACTGTTTTCGGTGTTGCAGTTTCTGAGATCCTTCCAGTTCCTGTGAGAAAAACAAATCAAGTTTTTTTTTTTTTTTTGCTTTATTCTGTTTCATGGAAGGAAAATTTTCCTTCATCTGAAAGTTCATCCCGGTGCCAAACGCACTCACATAGCGTCTCTTGCAGTTATGGATACCTCATCAGGGAACGGTTTTCACTGCTTGAATATTCTTAACTTGTTATCCAGACAAAAGTGCAGAGAGAAGATTTGAGATAAACAGTTCAGCCGATTCTATTGCCTAAGTCTCTCTCTATTTCTTTCTATCAACCCCAGTATTCAAACATTATTACAGATAATGCTTCACTGTTGGAATTCTGAGTGGAATTCACGTGATCCGTTTCATGAATGGCGTCTCTGAGGTGATGAGATTTGTATTATCTGAATGTCTGTGCCACTTAAAGATTGCAAATTTTATAAGCACAAGACCGAAAGCCTACATAAAGAACATATTCTCAGTTGACTGAAATCTCTCTCTCATTTTCTCTCTCCCCCCCCCATATATATATACATGTGTGTGTGTTTGTGTGTATGTTTGTGTTTTATATCGGGGGTACTGAAAGGTTCTTGGTCAGAACCACTTCCCAAAATTCGACCAAATGACCAAACATTGGAGAACGGCTCCTTAGTAGAACCGATATCTTTCCAGTGATGTGAATTTTTGCGGTTAATCAAGCCGGAAACATATTTTGGTTATTCTAAGAATACTTCTTTTAACATTTTTTTGAATAACAGTGATTTTTCCAGATACAAATCCTAGTACATAACTTATAGTTGGCGGGGTGGGGGAGGAAGCATATGCATTCATACCATTTCCAAGGTTATTTTCGCGCAAGAGGATGTAACTAACCCGATCGGAATTCGAACTCGGCTATCTGATTTCCCATTCCGAGTCTCTATTCATAACGTTAACGTTTTGGAACTAACAGACCAAATGGCATGAAAAATATGATCGGTGTTTAATATAATCTTAACTGGGAAGGCGAGACGCCCTAGTCTGTATAGCTATCAAAGAACCATGATTTCTACGACGTTTTTTTGTAAAAGTATGTTCCCAAATTTACACCTAACCCCGTAGGAGGGAGTGCTGAAAGGTGTGCGGCTCAGCCAAGAAAGCATTATAACTAAAAAAAAAAAAATTAATGTCATGGTTGATCATTTGGTTTAATTTTGCGAAGTGAGTATACCCATTAACTTTTCACTGTCGCCGAGATATATATATATATATATATTTAAATTTTTGACAATTGATAAACGTTAATGAAAGCAGACTTGTTTCGAAATACATCCGATAATACATTTCGCCATTTAAGACTTAATCAGAGCCGAAAATGAAAGAAAGGAAATGCGTCTATATTTAAATAATGAATACCTACCACTATTCTTTTTTTTTTTCAGTCACAAGAAACGCTGGCTTGGGAAGGGGTAGTGGAATTTCACCATTTAAACTTTTAAAACTGCCATCCACAGTCTATCTATCTATCTATCTATCTATCTGGGATAATTCAATAAGTACCTAATAGTAAAATCTACAAATACAACCCACCCCATTCTCCTTATAAGGCCTCATAACGGCTATTAGATAGGCCCACCTCTTTGCGTTGCGTAACGATTTTACCAGCTGAACCCCCACTGAACATACTCACTTTAAGGTTTCAGACGTTATGCGCATCACCAAACCCGACTTCGCACACCGAGATCAGACCTGATTCGTGAATACTAATGAAGAAAGCAAAACCAGAATAGAATGCAATAAAATGCTATTCGATATACAAAGATTAAACAAATTTTTATCATGATTTATCAGAGTAGAATTGATGAAATATTTACTTATTGTCTTTTAACACGACACGATCTTTTATAACAATCACTAAGCTCAGATTTAAACCGAAAATGTATAATTTTAAGAATCACAATGGAATTATCTGAGCTACAAAAGTTTTAACAGAGTATATTAAAAATTACGTCATACAGATTTTGAATGAATATTTTGAAACTGTATTTTAATGGCGTTCGGACCTAATGTTTAGTGGTGCAGAAAGTTTTTTTTATTCAAAAATAATTCTAATTTTGCTTTAAAACAGTCTGCTATTTTAATTTATAAAATATTTCAAAATTTTAAGGTCAGAATCTTTTGACCCCATAGCAACGCAGTAATGTCACTAAAACACAAAGTGTTACAGAGTGTGAAAGAATTAGGAACATAAACAATAATGATGATTAGAAAGTGAAAAGTGTAATCAGGAGGACAGTAAATAGCGATTTACATTGCATTTAATATTTTGTAGATTAAATTTGACTGGAAAGCATGGAGCTGGAAGGGAATTCCACAAGCAAGAAGTGCGAGAGAAGAAACTGTTAGGATAGAATTTATGGATATATCTAGCCAGTTCAACTGTAAAATGATGAAAATTCGACGCCAGTTTAGTGCTGTGCTTAAATGCAACACGTTTAGGTACCATAGCGAAGTGATCATTTGAGCAGTTACCATGAAAATATTTATAGAAAGGACATAGGCAACTTTATGGCGGTGAGAAAATGACTGAAGCCGAGCCGCCAGATCAGGAACAATAATATTGCTGATTCTTCTTTGAAGATCAAGGAAAATAACATGGGGCACCAGACTATATGTGTCATCAAAATTCTAAGCATGTACGAATGGTAGACTTATAGATACGCAAGATAGATTCTGGAGAGAAAAAAATTGTCTCGATCGACATAGTGAGCCAATTTAGCAGCTGACTTAGCAATGGATTCAATGGATTATAATCTTTCAACTTTATATCAGCAGAGAATGTGAGCCCGAGAAGGCGCAGCTAGTCACTTTCCTGGAGGATAGCATCAGCCATGATGATGGAGGGCAGCGAGGAGTCTCTCAGATGATTAACGGAGATAAATTTAGTTTTGGAGGCGTTAAAATTAACAAGCCATCTGTTGCCCCAGTTAACGACGCACTTGAGGTCGTTTTGGATATCAGCTGCCATTTTGACCTTATCGAACTGATAAGCTTTACTATCGAGGCATTAGTAAATTGTTGTGTCATCAGCGTAGATGTCAAGTTGAGAGCTGATGTCATCGAGAAGGTCATTAAAGAACATTAAAAACAGAGTAGGACCAAGTATGGAACCCTGGGAGGGGACACCTGCGTTAGTAAGAAAGGGTCTAGATGAGTGACCGTTGAAGGTAACTCTCATTTCATGATTTGATAGCAAAGACTGGATCAGCTCAAAAATGTGTCGGGGGACACCGTAACTTTTCAGCTTGTGGAGAAGACCTGAATGTCAGACCCTGTCAAAGGCATTCGTGATGTCCAATGCTACAGTCCGAGCTTTTTTTTTTATTATCTAGAGCCTCTTTTCGCAATTATCGTCAATACATTAGCAGTTGGCATGGAGAAAAGAAAGTCATACTGCTTGTATGAGAAAAGGCTCTGCGATGCGAGAGGAAGAACTAATTCAGCATTGATTAAGGCCTCAAGGGTTTTTCCAAAAATAGCTAGAAGGTTAATAGGCCAATATTTTGAAGTATCAGACGGCTCACCAGAGTTCTAAAAAACTGGAACAACAGCTGATTACTTACAGCAGGCAGGAAAGCAGGAGGCAGCGAGGCATTTATTTATACAGTTTAGAGAGAACAGGAGCCAGTTCAGGAGTACACATCTTAATGGCTGTTACAGGAATACCATCGGGTCCACATGATTTGTTGGGATCTAGGTTAGAGATGATAGTAGAAACCATGGAAGGAGCTATATGCATATCACTCAACAGAGACTCGGTTCTAGAAAAGAAGTTACGCAGGAATATTCCGGATGTGTGAAGAATAGAGTTTGAGGAGAAATTACGGGCAAAGCATTCAGCTTTATCAGCAGAGGATGATAAAAACATTGATTGAAGAGAGGAGAATAGAGACCTTACACTTATCTAATGCTCTGTTACATAGCCGCTAGTAATCACGAGAGCCAAATTTGTTAGAGGCTTTGCGGTGCCTCAGTCTCTTGGCAAACAGGAATTTGCTCCTTCGAGGACTCACATTTATTGCAAGCAGCAACGAATAGCGCTGTGCATGCTGGTGTGAGCAATGGAGAGGATTGAGATTTTACCTGGTATTTCCGAGAATGGATGAAGCGTCCATACCGGCTTTGACCAAAGAAGAAACCCCAGTGGCACGATTTTCAACTGAGAGTTTAAAAATGTCAGTCCAAGGGGCGTCACAGAGAAAATCACGGAGTGAGTCCTAATCAGTATACTTGTAATGGAAGGAGGTCTTGTAGAGAGGGGGTTCCTGTTAAAAGAGGATCTGAACGAAATATCAATAGCTACCACAGGGTGATCAGAATTACCAAGAGGGCAGCGTTGCGAATTAGAGAAATCAAGTAGAGAAGAATGTTGTTCGGTCTTGCTTGGGAAACGGATAGGGAAGTCCACGATTTGAAGAAGGGATTGGTCAGTGGAAAAATTCAATATCTGAACACCAGCAACATCATTTATCACATTCTTGATTAAACATTTTGCGAAAACGTTTTAAGTATTTGAATTTTAGTTAAAATGAAAATAAATCTCGACAATAACCTTATTAAGTCTAAAGAAACTTAAGAACAAAACAATAGTTACGAAATTTAATATCCTTAAAAATGTTAAATAAAAGTTAGTGAAACTTGAAACACTTCAATTCACCGTACAATCATTCTTCTTTTTATCGTCGCAATCATTTCATCCCAAGCAAAAGCAATAATGCCAGTAAGATGGATGGGATTGTCGAGTGTAAAAGAATATGAGAAAAGGAAAAAAAAATTATTAAGGAGCGGGAACAATGAAACAACAGGAATTAAGAAGACAGAAAATAAGGAATGACATTTTTAAATTTTTGATGATCAAAGTTGGTTGGAAAGTAAGAGACCTGTAGATTCTTCAGGCGATAATTGCAAGAGAAGAAACTTACGATTGCATCTAGCCATTTCAATTGTAAAATGATGAGACCTAACTGCCAATCTAGTATTGCGCTTAAATTTGTGAAGTCGAGGTAGCAAATTGGAAAGCTGATCAGAACAATTACCTTGAAAATATTTATAGTAAAAGCACAGGGGAGCTATGTTACAACGGTGGGGAAGTGACTGAATCCAAGATGCCAGGTTAGGACCAATAACTTTGCAGATTCTTCTTTGGATTTTGTCAACAATTAATACATAGCAGAAACACCAGACCAGATATGACGATAATATTCAATGCGTGAACGAATGGTAGATTTGTCGAGAATCTTGTGATACGAGGTCTGATCATAAAGTATCGGAATTAAAGTAAGCAGAGTGAAACCGCTTGGTGTAGATTGACCTTGAATGAAGTCGCGCATACACACTGAGTTATAACGTAATTCTCATTCACTTCCGTTGTTTATAAGAGTGTTTGGAAGTGTGGTCGTTTTACCACACCACAGAGGTTCCATAAGTGACCATGACGTGTGCAGCAGTTTTTGGTCAAATAAAATATTCCCCAGGTCAAACAACCACCATATTTGACAGATCTCGCCTCCTTCGGCTTGTTCCTTTTCAAAAATGAGATTTCAAAACGAGTTAGTTGCTCGGTTTTTAATAAGGATTGGAACGATCGAAAATACTTCTACAACTTCGAATAACTTATCCACAATTTTGATCTTGATATATAATATCTTATTCGAAAATTGTAAAAATACAATAAAAAATGAAACAGACAGGCCTAGTCGGTTGAATATAATAAAACTTATATAAATATATTTAATGATAGATGTACGTGTATTTGTCTCTGGCACCCTACAATGAAATTTTCAAAATTTCCAGATTAGATCTGAAGAAGATCCTTTTTCCTTTTAGAAAACAAACATTTGTTAAATGTATTTCACAAGAAGTCCTCAACTTGATAGTTAGATAAAGCCGAACCCATTTAATCCCAGAGGGCAGCGGGAGCGTTTTCTATTTTGTGGTTATGTAAGAGGAATTAGAATCATGGGAGGTCAACTTGGGCAATTTTCCAAGTCCGACACATGATACGTGCTATTTTAATTCAACTTCTTTTTTATTGCGTTTACCCAGAGGGAAGGTCTTCACACATGACTTCATGTTGCTACCACGCTCAAACTCTGAAACGATAGGATCTTTCAAAAGATCCTTTTATATATATATATATATATATATATATATACTCGATTATAGTACGTGTTTTATGATCAGTTTTTACGCAAAAATACGCGGTTGCGCTATACACAGGTAATTTTTGAAGAGGTTAAAAACCATGCATTTTCGGTGAAAATATTATTTTAGTTTAGGCGGAAAGTAAAAAAAACTATCTCTGAACACAAAAAGGATCTTATATACAATAATTTATCAAATGCATTATTCATATATAGAAATAAATTCAACTATAACTTGGATCTAAAGAATGCTACACTTATTAAAAGAGAAAGTAACTTACTTAGACGAAAAATTATTGAGAGTGCTGCTATCGAATCTTACCAAAATATTAATCTGCACCCCAGATTTTTTCAAATATCTCAGTTCCTGAAAGAAATACTCCTTTCTCAATGCCAAAATATACGACCATGAAAATATTAAAACATTAAAAGAAAACGTTTAAATTCATAACCTTCTGTCATTTAACATAATACATAAATTAATCCTAAACTAAAATAATATCATATAATAATTGTGTTTGCCTCTCCGTTTTATAATTCGCACGACCGTCAAGCCTTGATAATAGTTTGTAGATATTGGACTATTCCGTTTTGATCACGTGGAAAGACAAAACATTCGAGATACTATTTACGATAGTTATTGCAATGTTTTGTCAAAGATGTTAAGCTCAAATATTTAATGATGTGATAGGGGAATTTCTACGGATATTTTATTCTCGTAGAACTCGCCATGAGTTTATTTAAACATTAACTGAAAAATTAAGATTCGTCAGAAATTTCAAATAGGGATTTTCACGAGTTAAAACTAGTAAATATTAATTACATTAATAAAAAAATCATCAACATTTACACACTTTTGCTTATTAGACAGTTAGTTTTCAGTTAGCCTGATGTTTATTTATGAGAGTTCTTGAATTTAAAAATCTTGAAAAGCTAATGATATTTTTACTTCTGTTTTTAAAATCTTGTTGCAAAATAAAATCCTTACATTTGCCTTAATAAAGCCCATCAGAGGACAGAACGTGTCGGCTAAGATAGATTTTCCTTTTGTCTTATACATAAATATTTGCTATAGCTATATATATATATATATATATATATATATATATATATATATATATATATATATATATATATAAAGCTGATAATTTCGAAAATCATTCCCACCCGTGAATGCCTTAGTATACAGTACATAAATTAACATTTTGTATTTTACAAGAACATGATTAATCCTGCCGGGAGGGTTATTCTTCTCTTTTCGCTGAATGTGATAACTGTCAAGGCATATTATTTGTTATAAAAATGGCTGTCATTTGTAATTGCAACATTGGTCTATAAACTTTGACCCACTGAACTATTTATGATTTGTGCCCCTAAATACTTTCCTGTTATTGCGTGTGTGTTTGTGAAAGGTTATTAAAATTTACATGCTATGTAAATCTATCTTTTCCTGTTCATCTTTGTATCTCTCTGAATTTCTCCCAGTCTATTCACATCACTTTCGACAAATCTGTTTAATCTCTCTCTCTTTCTCTGTCTATCTATGAGTTTAAGTATATTTGTCTATCTTTGTAAATCTCTTTCTGTTTGTTTCTCCCTCTCTCTTATTCTGTGTGAGTTTGTCTACTCGTATCTCTCTAACTGTGGATTTCTTTCTCTCTATGTATCTATTTATCGTAGTATGCTTGTCTGTGTTTGTTTGTCTCATAATTTACTTCAGTCTTTAAGTCTTTCTCTCTAGTTTTGTAAATCTCACTCTTTTAATACTTTTGTGAAACAGTCTATTCTCTCTCTCTCTGAATCTTTATCTTTGCGAAACTCAATCTGTTCTTCTCTCGCCTCCTCTCTGCAAAACTCAATCTGTTCTTCTCTCGCCTCCTCTCTGCAAAACTCAATCTGTTCTTCTCTCGCCTCCTCTCTGCAAATCCCAGTCTCTTTGTATTTATCGATCTCTCTGTTCATATCAATGTATCATTGTTATTTTGTATCTTTATATCTCATTCAATTGAATATGAATTTTTCGCATATTTATGAATTATCTATATTATCGTCATTTTTTTTTTTAACAGAATGTATCATTCGATATATTCAGTCTGGAAAATGTTCTTACAGATAAATCCGAGACTTAAAGCTGCATAGATAGGAATTCTACAGAAAGATGGTAAGAATAACATGGACATAATATGTAAGCAACAAGGAAGTTTTAAGGGAAATGGGAGCGAAATGAATTTTGTACTTAGAATCAGAAAGCGACAGTTGACATTTCTGGGGCATACAACGAGGAAGGAAGGCTTGAAGAATTTAACACTCATAGCATATATTGAAGGCAAGAGGGAGACAGCGGATAAGCTAGCTAACGAGTTTACGCAAATGGATGGCAGATGTTAAGGGAACAAACGCTGTTTAGAATTACAAAAGATAGAATGTTCGGGAGAGCCATAATTGCTCATGTCCTGAAGGGATACGATATATAAAAGAAGATAATTCAAACTTTAGTGTTTTTTAAAAGTGGGCACACACGTAATACTTACTTAACCTTAGATGAATGCAAGAAAATCGAATATATTGCTTGTTTATAAAGAAAAATGATGTTAGTCTAAAAATAAATGGTATAATGAAAATAATCCCAGATCGTCAAGCAACATAGGAAGTTTGAAGGATATAATGGCTGAAAATAATCCCAGATCGTCAATCAACATAGGAAATTTGAAGGATATAATGGCTGAAAATAATCCCAGATCGTCAATCAACATAGGAAATTTGAAGGATATAATGGCTGAAAATAATCCCAGATCGTCAATCAACATAGGAAATTTGAAGGATATAATGGCTGAAAATAATCCCAGATCGTCAAGCAACATAGGAAATTTGAAGGATATAATGGCTGAAAATATTCCAGATCGTCAAGCAACATAGGAAGTTCGAAGGATATAATGGCTGAAAATAAACCCAGATTGACAACAACATAGGAAATTTGAAGGATATAATGGCTGAAAATAATCCCAGATCGTCAATCAACATAGGAAATTTGAAGGATATAATGGCTGAAATGCAAATAATGTGACAAATGTATTGAGAAATGAAAAACACTTTAGTTCGAAACTTCAGAAAAAAAAATTAATGCAATTATTTTAAACATAAAAATAAGTGTCGTCTTTTCTCTTATCGTTGTCACGGAAACGTGTTTATTTAATTTTATGTCCCTTTTGCAAGCGCAGTTGTCCACACGTGCAGTTTTGAATGCACGAATGCTCAAAGACGAAAGTATTGTAAGATCACTGGCTGTGATTTTTTGGGTGGGTAGTGAGGGTCATCAGCTGGCAGTTGTGTCCTATTTTACTGCTTGAAATGTTCTTTGAAGTGATTTCATTCTTTGGAGAATTTGTTTGGATTATTTATTATTTCTGAAGGTTTCCTTTGTTTTCGCGTTTGTAGTTGGACATCAGAACAAAATGAAAGAATCATAAAAGAAAATCGGACGTTTGTAAACGCCTATTTATTTAAGAAGCATTTAAAATACAGAGCCCTTTAAACTGAAAGATCTCCTGACAAACTCTGACTCCAATCAAATATATATATATATATATATATATATATTAGAATATATGGCTCAGAAAATCTAAGTGGAGAAGAGAAATACATTGAAAAAAAAAAAAATTAGACTTATCCACTACCCACGTCATTTCATCCTTTTAAAAAAGAAGCATTCAAAGTCTATAAATTCAAAAAATTAGATACTGCTGACGGCACTTCTAACATCAAAAACACAAAATTCATAATCTTACCTTTTAATCCTATCTACGAAATCTGAAAATAAATTAGTTATCCCAATACTAGGTTTTTGACACCACCTTCAAGACAGAAATATAATTAGGAAGAAAAATAAATCTAATACCACTTCAGATGCTGAGATTTATTAAATAATGCGCTTGCAATTTAAAAAAAAAAACCTACTGATATTGCCGAGATATACCGAAATCTAAAAGCCCATATCTACGAGCATAACAGATATCAACGTCGGGACAAACTTTTAAACTCGCTCGTAATATATTAGGAAGAAAAGAAACTGGCCATTACTAAACGAAAAAAAAAAAGAAAAAGAAAAGATTTTTATGTCGAAAATACTTCAAGGTAATATTTTACAAACTCAGTTGGTAACCACTGCTGCAGCACAAAGTGTGCACATTGGCATCTTATGTATGCTGCATTACTTGCTATATATAAGATGCACTTAAAAGAAATAAAAAAAGTTTTTACGGCAATCACTTTGAGCTTTATACTTTAATAGTTGACCAGTACTTAAACATACCTATTTAAGACATCAGTCATCTAGCGACTTCAAAATTAAATAGATATGGTTACAAATAAAAAAATAAATATAATATATATATATATATATATATATATATATATATATATATATACAGTGTATCACAGTGTATCACAAAAGTGAGTACACCCCTCACATTTCTTCAAATATTTAAGTATATCTCTTCATGGGACAACACTGACAAAATGACATTTTGACACAATGAAAAGTAGCCTGTCTGCAGCATATATAACAGAGTTAGTGAATAACCGAGACAGAATAGCCTCTAAATTAACTTGAAAAGGATACTTGATATATTGAGAAGATAAGAGACTAATGGTTAGTAAACCAATCACGGAGAACATTACTATTGTAATATATTCAACAATGTGACTGACTTCAACGGGACATAGTTGTGTACATGGTTGAATGAGAGCATATTATCAGGTCATGGGATTTATGTAGACGTATGGTTATATACCACGAGAATGTATTTTTAAAAAAAAAAGCAACTACTTTGTCACAGAAGTAACTAGTAAATAGAAGCAGGAAGATGAAGATTTTGATTTTGCTCTACCATTTAGTTGAAAGTGATCAAACTATATAAGAAAATTTCATCCTCAGCTCATTTTTTAAAAAGAATTCTCTAAACAACCAACATTCCGAATAAAGCAAGAACCTAGAAATCCTGGTAGTCATCTCTCTATATATTACTTCAAGATGAAGTAGTCCACGTGACAAGTTCATCAAATTTATTATATTTACAATATTGTAGTGAGTTCATTCATCACTGTTCTATAATTGTAGACTTGTATCATGTTCAGTATAGTAAATGTTAGTCTATTCTGATGGTCTTGTTCTTACGTAAAATATGTCGAAAATTAAACCAGTTATTTAATATTAACAAAAAAAAAAAAAAAAAAACTGGAAATAACGTCTTAGTCTCTTTCAAAGTACTCCTCTTAGGACCTCACACGTTTATTGCGGCGTCTCTTCCACTTTACAAAACAGTCTGCAACGTTTTATTTTGGTATCATCATCAGTTTCATGCAACTTTGATGATCTACTCGTGTGGTCATTATAAATGCGACCGTCACACACACACACACACACACACACACACACACACACACACACACACACACACACACACGATGGTGCTTCACTTTCGATTGTTTGTTCTTGGATACACACTAAGATCAGTTTTTGATTGGTTGCGAAATTGTACCAACGTCACATGACCAGTCCTTCAGATATTTAATATGACTGGGTATTTTTTTTTTAAATAGATTTCATATGGCAAGCCAGGAAGTGCAATTTGAGATATTACGTCAAACAGCGTATTTCGTACATTTCCCAAGTGTGTTCTGATGTAATTCCCAAGTTTTATATTCATATTTAATCCTTTTATTTTATGATTCCGCTTGGATCTAATTTGATTTCCAGCTTTTCACTTAGTTTCCCAAAATAAAAGTAATTTTCTGGGTTATTTTAATCGAATACTGATTTTTCACTTTATCCAGGAAAAGTCAGGAAAGGGGAACGGATGTAATGTTAAAGGTTACTTAGATAAAACTTTCAAAGAAAAAAATTTTCAGTACAATTAACGAGTAACTAAACTGAAATATAATATATATATATATATATATATATATATATATATATATATATATATATATATATATATATATATATATGAGGACTATCTGGAAAGTAACGGGACTGGTGTCACAATAGATTTATTTAAATTTCAAACAAATGATATGGTTATGCTTTTAAAGTAACCCCCCCTCGAGTCTAATGTACTTTTCCATAATTATCTGCCACGCTTCGATGCACTGCTGGAAGAATTCTTCTTGGATGCCCTTCAGCTGCGTTGTTACGGCCCTCTTGATGGCCTCTACACCTTCAAAACAGGTCACCTTTATGATCCCTTTGAACTTGGGGAATATAAAAAAGTCACATGGAGCAAGACCAGGCGAATAAGGATGTTGTTCTAGTACGGTGATGTTCTTGATCAGGAACAGCCGGATGCTCACGTTGTTGTAAGCAGGTGCATTGTCATGGTGAAGCAGCCACGATTTGTCCTGCCACAACTCTCGTCTCTTCTCGCACACTGAGCGAAGCAAATGCCGCAGGATCTCTTTGTAGACTTGCTGATTGATCATCTGGCTCTGTGGCAAGAATTCACTGTGAACGATGTCTCTCACATTACTTTTCAGACAGACCCCGTGTATATAATATATATATATATATATATATAATTCCTCATCGTTTGTAAAATTTAAATATTAATATTTATAAGCTACTGTTAAGAGAATGGAGCAGTTAAATTACATATGAAAAATATGATGTATGCATATATAAAAAAATGGATTAAATACAAAAAACAAAAAAACAAATATATTTTGAAAAGATACACATCTATACATCCAATTACAAACATAAATATATGCACATTGTTCCACAACAAATGTAATCAAATACACAGGCACGCACACACGCGCATATATATATATATATAAAGAAATATAGTCTTAAGGTGTGCTATATTTATGGGATAAAGTGCTCAATATCAGAGATAGAGCGTGTGTAAATATAAAAGTGAACATAGAAGTGTTGGTTCTTA